TCCTGGTAAAATTGGTAATTTTATTAGAATGGTGAAATTCTGTAACTCTGAGGAGCTGGGAATGGTGAAACTCTGTAACTTTGGAGCGGAGAATGGTGAAACTCTGTAACTTTGGAGCTGGAAATGGTGAAATTCTGTAACTTTGGAGCTGGGGATGGTGAATGAAATTCTGTGAGTTTGAGGAGCTGGGAATTGTAAAATTCTTTAATATAGCCATAAATTTCAGCAAATCAAGTTGGGGTTTTTTGAGCTGACACTTTAAACGCCTTTATTTTAGATCTTATAGAAACACACTCAATTTTTAACCCTGGAAAATTAAACTACTGAGGAAGCAACATTTGTGCTGTAACAGCCCACTTTAAATGATGCAATTAGAACCAAAGAAGCCAGTGTGCCTTTTGCAGTTTAGCAATTAAAAACTTTCAAACATACAGCCTAGCATTTTGGCTGACATAAAAGCTTTTGAGCATTTTATTGCTGCTTGTACTTCTGGGCAGGATTTGTAGGTGCTTTAATATTATGGTGATAATGTGTCCATTAATGCCTATTAGGCAAATGATAAATAATAAATACAAACTACAGTTTAGAGTAATTGGTGAGAGTCCAGCCCTTAAACCTTCATCAAAAGCAACCTTTTAAATAATTATTTGTGTTAAAAGCTGGAGTGTTCACTTCTGCCCCAAATAAATTCTTTTAAATGTTGGGGAGAGGAAAATGAGGGGGGTCTGTGAGAGCACTGGATCATCAAAGTGATAAATGGGATTATCTTGGAGAGGAGGAGTGAGCAGAGGTGTCCATGGAATAATTTCAGGATTGCAGCCTGAGGAACTCCTGTCACGCCCTGCTCTGCTCCTGCTCCCTGGGGTTTGCAGGATCCCATCAGCATCCCTGGAAGGAGGTGGGTGAATCCTAAAATCCTCCAGCAGCATCCCCACGGCTCACCTGGGCAGCTGGCACCTCTCTCGAGTGGAAAGCCTCAAACAGTGGTGGATTTACATGGAATTTCCAAGGCTCTTTCCATGAGAATGTTGGATTTGAATAGCAAAACTGTAATTTTCGAGTCACAGCAGAACTCCATCCCATCTGTGCTCAACTTCAAACAGGATCCTCGAGAGGCCCCAAATTGCAGATGGAAATTGTGTTGCAGGGAGACGGCGTTTTAATTCCATAAGTAATAGATGGGACATGAAAAAAGGAATATTCAGGAGGCTTTTTTGGCTGCTCAGTTTGTGGGAGGAGGAGGTAAATACAAGCCTTGGAATAGTGGAATGTCCTGGGAGCAGCCTCAGTGGCTCTCTCCTGGGCCAGCTTGGGCTAATTGGCTTCCAGCAAGCCTCACACAGCTTCACTTGGAGCTGTGGGTCTGTTCCTGGGTATTCCTTCCCCCTGGGATTTGAATTTCTTGCTGCTAATGAACTCAGGGACTCGGAGGTGTCTCCTGGCTCGGGGTGGATCTGCTTTGCCTTTGGACTCTGCTTTGCTTTGCAAGCTCTTGGGGTGTTTAAAGCAAAAATATGAATGGAAAAGGAAATCTGGGGAGCTCTGCAGGAGCTTTTGCCAGGTATCCAGCTGTGCTTAAACTGAGGATCCTCCTGGATTTGGGGCTTTTTTGTCCCACCCTTGGCCCAGTTGTGCCAGAGGAAGCAGGGGAGGGAGCCTTGCCTAAATTTGGACCTTGCTGTGTGGGCTAAAGAAACATAAACCAGTCATAACCAAAGAATTAAAGAGGAACCTGGAGTTTGGGGCATTACAGAGTCAGAAATTTGTGCTTTTTAAAGCAATTTCTTGTTGTTCCCATTTTTGTAAGTGCTTCCTGAGGTGCAGCAGCTTTACCTGAGCACTGGTTTTACCTGGAATTGCACATGATGGTTGGAAACATCCCCTTGATGCCAGCCTTGCTTAGCAGGATTTTATAGTTTCTTTGTATATTTATTGGAATTCTTGCTACTAATTTAAACTGTTTGTAAGGAGCTTTAAATTCTGAAAATAGTCCCCTTGTTCCAACACAAATAAGGGTAAATTTTCAGCTGCACTCTGGGCATTGGTGGCTCTGAACATCCAACAAAACAGAAAAACACATCAATACTAAGTTTAGGCAATTATTTTCCATAGAACACAGCCTGCAGTATAAATTCCAGTAAATACACGACAGAACTTCCCAAAATGATGTCTTCTTTAATTATATGTATTTCCCTGAAGAAACAGAGAGGTTTCCAGTTGGCTGCTTGACCTGAGTATTTCCAGTGTCCTTTCTGATCCTGGGTAGGAACATCCATCCAGCTCTTCCTCCAAAGGTGTTGAAAACCTTTGGCCAGCTTCAATCAGCCCTGATAAAATAATTCATTTTACATTCAATTCTTCCCTATTTTATTGACACTTTCTTGTTCTTCCTATTATTTCCTCAGCTTCCATGTGCCATACCTGGAATATTTAAGTGTGAGGAGCTTGTTTTCCTCTTGTTTGAACACAAAGATGGGGTTTCTTCAGCATCCTTGATTTGCCAAGGATTTGCTGCATGCAGGGCTGACTTGGTTTAATTGGAAAGGCAGAGGCAAAGACCTTGTTCCCACTCAGAAGGGATGGAATGGCATTTCTAGGAACTGGAACACAGGAAGTTCAGTCATGGCATCACTAAGGAAGAGGAATTGAGTGACTCTGAGGTGACTCTTCAGAAAATGACAGAGGGATTTTGGAAAGGGCAGCAGGAACTCTTGATAAATCAGGGTTTTTCATCCAAAACCATCCAAAGAAGTTAACCCAAATGAAGATATAAATGGAAATGTGGTTTTAATTTGGTTTCACTCATTCATATGTTCTTTTTATTCTGAATGAAGGTGTCCATGCAGGGATTTAATTTCACCTAATAAAGGTACTTAGAGTCACATCCTTAATTAGTTCAGGGTGTGCAGTGTGCTCTCCTCTTGCATGAGCATCCTGAAGGAGCTGTAGCCAAGGGATTGAACATCAGGGGAGGTTCAGGGATGGTGCTGCTGAGACCCCAAAAGTCCTTCCCTGCCTCAAAAGGGACCTGGGATTTGCAGTGTCCATCCAGATCCATCTGTTCCCTGTGATCCCCTCTGGAGCCTGGCTGGGACTTCCAGCACTGTTCCTCCACAGGGATGCCAAACAGGCACAGACAGAAATGCTGAATTTTGGGAAATACATCTCAGCTTTGCCATTGAACTTACATAAAGCTGATATTACCCACTTAACTTCACGGTTTATTTGTAGATTGTGGGATTTATAAGTCCTGTAATTAAACCATGTCTGATTTGTGCATCAGGACTTTTGCTCCTGCCTCCTTATTCCACTTCCATCCTCCTTACCCCCTTTTTATTCCCCTTAAACAACTTCCCAGACCAAAGAGCAGAACTTCCCAAATCTGTAATTTGCTGTCCAAGAACCACATGGGTTGGTTTGGGTTTTTTTTGGTTTTTTTTTTTTTTTTTTTCTTTCCTTAAATCCAGATTTTTATCATGTTTCAAATGCTTGTTTGCTCAAGTATGTTCCTCTGAATTTCTGGACACGGGGAACAAAAAGCTGGCCAGGCTGTGCATGAACAGTGTGCTGTGGAATGCAGTGTCGTGGCACTCGAGGAATTCAGTGATCTCTGTACCAAGAGCAAGATGTTGTTTATTGGTGCTTTTCTAAAGGTTCTTCTGGGTCTATAAAATTCTTTATCCAGGCACTCAGGGAGTGCTGTCAGCTCTGAGCATGTTCCTGCTTTCCTCAGCATCATAAATGTCCTGTAATGATCCTGGGTGTGATGCAGGGCTGGAAAATCCTATTGGATGGGCTCTTCAAAGACTCAGACTCTGTCTTGGGCTGGGTTTATCCATCCAGGTTTTGTTAGGTTTATCTGGGCTAAAAGGATTTTTATTTTGCTGGTGAATTTATCCATTTTTTTTGTTGATGTCTCACCTGAGATTCTTCACTGCTAGGCTGGAAAAGTTTTCTGAGGGATGGTTAAATTCATGAATTTCAAGCTGTTTAACTCCTTGCTGTTAAAATTTAAATATCTATTTCTCTAATCTATTGGAAATTGATCCGTTGGAGATTGGGTGACACAAACAGCACAATCCACCTCATGTTTTGGGCTTGTTTTCCCAAATTCCTGGTGGTTTCCCCATGGAAATGTGTCTCCCATACACATGACAACATTTTCACTTATAAATGATGCCTTCAACTTATTTATAAATTCTTCAGTCCCTTTGGAAAGCTTCACAATGGGGTCCCACGAGTCCCACGGAGCACAATTCCTGTCTTGGATGCTTTGTGTGATTTAGGAAAGAAAACATCCACAGCCCCAATTCTGCTGGAATTGGAGGAATCCAAACTCAGCCTGCTTTGGGTTGGGTCTGGTTCTTTTTTCTTCACTTAAAAACTCAGGTGAGACTTGGAATTGAAATGTCTTTGGGATCTCTAAAATGACAGCGAGGCAAAAAGGCTGAAACTGAGCAGTTTTAGAGTCACAGGAATACAATTTTTTAAATGTAAGCAGCTGAGCCTGGAGGAAGAGGCCAATTGTTGAAACAGGCAAAGCAACAACAGGATTTTGCAACGGAGCTGCAGTTTGCTTTTCCAAAGGATTGCCAGCTTTCTCCTGGAAAAAATTTGCTTTGCGTCCTCTCAGGCAGAGAACTGGAATAAATTTTCCCCTCAAGTGTCCATTTTTTAACTCAAAACTTACATAAGCATCAAAGCTGAGCTGTTCTGTGCCCAAAATGTGGTGGAGGGGTCAGGAGGAACCAAGAGCTGCTCCTCTCCTGAGCTCAGGATGACCTTAGCTTATCCTTTTTCCTGGTACAAATCACTGTTTCAGGATATTTTTTTTGCTTTCTTGCTTGAAATACACACTTCCCTGACCTTTCCCCTTGAAAAAAAAAAAAAATAAGCAAAGTAAAACCAGGTGAAAAATCAATCTTGAGCGTGGCTTGGTGAACTTGGCTGAGTTTAGAATTTCTCTGAGGTAATTTTTGTTTTTCCACTTGTTTTTATAGGATGCTGTGACGTCAAAACCAGTCATCCAGTTTCAAGGAAGCCAAGGGGTAAGTTTGTCCCTGGAAAGTTCTTTTCCATTTAATGGGATTGAGGAATTTTGGGCTGTTCCAGCTCAAGGAATGATGCTGTGATTGCTGAGATGGAGCTTCAGGTGTGCTCCAGGAAGGTGTTTGCTCGTGGAGTCTCTCTCTCTAAAACCTTTTCACTCCTCTTTATTTCCTAACCTTGCTAAATCCATGGAAAATTCAGATTTATGAATTAGGTAGAAGAGGGAAAAGAAAGGAAGCAGAAATCCACGGAATCCTCACCTGCATCCCAAGAAAACACCGTGCTAAACTCACTGCAAGAATTTTTGTGTCCCAAATCCTTCCAGCAGCAGAGCTTGGAGGCTGCTCTGAATGTCCTGGAGGTTTATTTAATGTAACTGCAGTTCTGGGAGTACCAGAAGTTATTTTAGATTTAGGAGTTTTACTTCCCCAACTTCTGTTCCGATGACAGAACTCTGGGATATTTTTAGCCCCTGGAACCAGCCTGTCATGCCAGTTGCTGACAACGTTGAGATTTACGTGGTGGTGTTTCTGGTAAAGCAATGCAGCCCTTCAGTGAACTTGAAAAATGTCATTTAGATACCTTTTATTTCTAAAAAAGCCTGTGTTTAACTTTAGTTTCTGCATAAAGAAAGGGAGTTTAATTTTTTTTAATTTTTTTTTTTTTCAAGAATCGGAATTCAGCTGTAACTTCTGGTTATTTTTTATGCACTGGCACATTAAAGCTTTTAAAAAGGCTTGGATTGAGTGGACATTAAACCCAGCACATTGTCCTTGCCCACATCCTACTTTGTGATATTATTCTCACTAACAGTCCACAGAAAATATAGCAGGAAAGACATGATTGTTATTATAAGTTTAGAAAAAAAATACAAACCTTCTTGTCCTGGGAAATAAAGAAAGGAGCAATTTCCAGGTTTTTTACTTTGTTTAGACTTAAACTTCCCTGAAAACTCAGCATGAAAGTGGAGATCAAAATCTGCCACTGAGGTTGGGCACAGTCAGAAGAGAGGAGGAGAACTGAAGGGTGGCTGGTGTGTCTTTATTTGATGAGCTTTGCTCATGGAATAAAGAGGCTAAAAGCACTGGGAACGCTTTCCTTTCCCTTTGGAAGCAGGATCTACACCTGACTGTTCTTGTAAAGGTGTTTAAGTTTTGGAAATGCCTCCTCTGAATGTTTTTCCTTGAAGGAAATGTAGCAAAAGGGATCAGAACAGCTTAAAATGCTCTCTGTCCTGAGCCTTTGCTCGTGGTGGGTTCCACAGGGATCTGATATGGACAAGAATTAGCAACAAATATTAATTTCTGGGGCTAATTTAAAATATTTCCAAATGCTACAGCTGCTTCTAGAAATGAAAAATATAAAAATACAGTTATTTAAAAATACAAAAATAGTTAATTCTGTTTGAGCCCTGAAGTCCCAGGGATGAGTCGTTGGTGGAGGAGCTGCCTGGCACCTGCAGTGTCACTCCTTGGAGAAGGAGAGGAGCCAGGAGGGCTGGGCTGGGCTGGAGGGAGGATGTGGCAGCCAGAGCTGACCTCTGCCTGCTCCTCCTCAGTGCTTAATTAATGGCACTGACGAGGAAAGGCCAAAGGTAGAGCTTTGAAGAGAGCTGCAGCTCCATGGGAGCGCACAGAAAGAGCTCTTTGTCCCTTTATTATTATTTTTCCTGGGTATGACAAGGAGCTGGCAGCTGGGGAACCATCTGCTTTTAAGGGTAGGACTCTGCACGTCAGGATTCTCCTGCTTTTTAAGGAGCTGAGGCTTGAAATGCTTTCGAGGGATCCTCCATCAGTTGGGCTGAAGAGATAATTCCAGGAATTTACCAGGCTCTCACATCCAGAGGATTGGCATTAAAACATATTTTACTTTTAAGCATTAAAACATTTTGCTTGCTTATTTGTAAATTATTTCTTCCATTCTTCCTCAGTTCCCCAATTTGCTGCCTTCCTGTTTTGTTTCCCAAAAAAAAAAGGCAGTTGTGGAGAATCCCATTCATTTTTTGGGGTGGGAAGGTTGTGCATAGCACAAGTGACAGTGTGGTTTAAAGCAGTCAGGTTTTAATAGTGGGAATTTTCTGTGCAAGTATTTCTCTCTCAAGAGGGAAAAGCTTCACTTGATGATTTAAGAAGGCAGGATATAAAAGAAGATTTTTAACAAACTGCTGCTTCTTGAATTTAATTCTCTAGAAGCCTTTAAATTACTGTATCCATGTGTTTTGCCCTGTTCTAGTGTTACTCTAAAAGCTGTCAAAAATACTTTCAGTTTCTAATACGCAGAAAAAGAAACTTCCATGTTTGAGACACTAATTAACCAGGGAAGGGAATTGTTGGAATAAAACCCAGGGTCAGCAAGGTGGCAGCAGAAAGGAGGAAGTCAGTGGTTGCAGCCCAAAATAAAACAGCTGTTCCAGTGACAAGGGACAAAACTTCTCCTGCATCCTGGTCTGGATCCAATCTCACAGGAGCTGATAAAAACTTTTGGGGATTTTGCTTTGAGATGTGTTTCTCTGTATTGATGCTGCTCTTGTTAAAGGCTTTTATTCTGTGTAATAATCAGAATTTCAGTTGTTATAACCAGGTTGTTTTTACCAGGGGGTTCCTCTGAAGTGGGACCATGGATATTCCTTAGGAGCAGCACCTGGCTGTCAGTTTTTCCTCGTGGATTTTCTTGGGTAGTTTCATGAGTTTTGATGGAGTTTTGAGCATTTTTCTCGTTGCAGTGTGCACGTAAATTAGAATTTAAGAGCTGGAGTACCACAGCATTACAGATTGTGTGCAGAGCTGTGCTAGAATTACTGAAAATGCATCTATTTTGGTGAAAAGACATGCAGAATCAGAGCTTAGGCTGGCTGAAATTTGCAGGTGCTTGTGGGGTGGTGAAAGCAGGGGCAGAATTGAACTGAGGGGGGAAAAATACCCCTCAGGTGCCAAACCCACGTGTGTGTGCAGCATTTTTAGAATGACTGTTGGGAGCAAAACGTCTTTGCTTTGTGATTGGAAAATACAGCATTTCCCCTGCTTCTTGGGATGAAGTTTTGGTCTTAAGAGAGGGAGGTGAAATCTCAGTTCAGAGCGAGCTGTCCACAGATGAATGTTACTTGAAAGAAGAAAACAGAAGTTACATCTGTACTGAGCTATTTTTAAGTGTCTCTGGTTACTGGTGCAGTACCCAGCACCAAAATTAGGGCTCCCTCAAAGCAGTCACCATGCTGATTTGGTGGCTTAAGAAACCTTCTGTTTTCAGCTAAAAATAATTCCTAGATAACGGCCAGCTTGCACATGAGAGACTTTTCAGTACTAAAGTGACTCTGCCTCATTTTACAGCCTCTGGAAATGCTGCAAAAACCCTACAAAAATCCAAACCTGGGGCTTTTGCAGCAGCTGGTTTTTCCAGTGGGTAAAGCAGGAGCGAGGAGAAAGTTCTTTGGTGTGTGGGGATGTGATTTGGTGACATCCTGCAGGTTTTATTTTCCAGGCTCAGGTGCAGCACAGCTCCATCCCCCTGTTGAGTATTTCCTCTTCTTCCCATTCCTACCAAATTTCCAGCTGCAAAATCCCCCCCCCCCCCCCCAAGTCTGCTGCTTACATAACTCTGCCTCTTCTGGTAAAGAAGAAGGGAATTTTCTTCCCCCTGCCTGGGTGGGGGCAGAGGATGCCAGGAAAGATTAAAAGGGCTCAAGGGCTGCGGCACACGTTTGGCAGGGGAGATAATGAGGCTGCTCAGGGAGGGTCCAGCAGCACCCAAAAAAATCTGCTCCCAGTATTTTCATACCAGGATCCTGGGGATAACTTGTCCTCTTGTATAAAGCAGGGCACAAGTCTGGGTTTCTGGCTCATTTTTGGAAGAAGGGAGCTCTGTTTGAGGGCAGGGAAACGCCGTGCTCGGGCTCGGCTCAAGAGCTTCTTGCTGCCTCTGAGAACATCCTGTGGTTTAGCAGAGGGACACAGATCCCTGGGTTTTCCAGGCTGCTGGAGACGTCTGAGGTCTGAAGGAAACCACCCAAAACCCCTCCTGTCCCAGCACAGTCATGTGTGGATGCCACGGGCTGGCTTGCTGGGAGTGTGTGTTTTCTACGTAGATGTGGCAATCTGGGTAAATATAAATCCATGTGGTAAAGCCTGGCCTAAAATAGGCTGGGGTTGGTGTTCCTTCTGTCTCAGCTTCTGGGAGCCATCTTAATTATCAAATATTGATGTGATAGTAGAGCTCAGATGCTGGCATTTATGTTGGATCCTGAATGCAGAGGGGAGACAGTTTTCCCTTTTGAAAAATGAATGGCTGTGGGGGGCGGGGGGCTTGAAAAAAACAATGCAGGATGGCTGTGGAGTTGTCTGTGGAGCACACTTAATGCTTGATTAAATATTTAATTTAGCAGCAGCGTCACACTCTACTGTGAGCCATGAAATCTTGTTATGGAATTATAATTTCTTAAAAAAGAATAAGCATGCTACCTAGTGACCTGGCTTGTGCTATGTTTAGTGCTGGATCAGTAATTGGAAAGAAACGAGCCTCGAGTGTTTTACGTTGAGTATAAACAGTGGGAGCGAGTCTGTTTTGAGGCTGAATCAATAGAATTGGGTCAGATTCCTAGAACAAGGTGGTTGTGGGCTCTGTTCTCTCACAGCCACATCCATCTTCAGCTGCTCTTTCCCTCAGTCACCTTTTCCTTCCCCCTGCGCACAGTGAATTCTTCTGGCAGCCTCTCCGTGCAGTAACCCAGGTGCTTTCCTTGTTGCAAAATGCCTCAGAGCATCCTGGCTGCAGGAGAACTGAGCTCTCCTGAGCCTGGGGTGACCCTGGTGACCAATGTTCTCCCTCCTGCTCCTCCTCTCCCGAGCAGCACATCGCCATCCCGAGGCCCGATCGACCGGCGGAAGTGCGGACCTTCACCTTTTATCTCTCCAATATTGGCAAGGACAGCCCCCAGGGGAGCTTTGACTGCATCCAGCAGTATGTGTCCAGGTGAGTGGGCATCCAAGGAAAACCCAGCCTTTTTTAGTTTTGGTTTGGGGTTTTTTTTTTTTTTAATCCTCTCTTCTGGAGCATCTTTTCCCTAACAAAGCTTAATGCACATTCTTCATTTTCAGAGTCGTTCTGATCTATTTTGATGTGGTTTTATTTGGGAAGCATCTGATTCCCTCTCAGGTCCTCTATGTGTCCCCTCACTATTATTCAGCTAACACCCCCCAGCTGTCCCCCAGTGCCAGCCTGGTGTCCCTTTGCAGTGTCAGGAGTACCTTTTCCATTGCATTTCTCTTGCAGCAATGGCAATATCCATTTGGATTGCCTGGGAAGCATACAGGATAAAATCACCGTGTGTGCTACTGATGATTCCTACCAGAAGGCGAGGCAGAGCATGGCACAGGCAGAGGAGGAGACTCGCAGCCGGAGCGCCATAGTCATTAAACCTGGGGGGAGATATGTAGGTAAGCAGCCACTCCTTTTGGGGCTCTGCACTCCATCTGGGACTCAGCAGGCTCTGGAGGCAAATCCTGATGTTGTTGGCTTGATCGTGGCAGTCTGGAAAGTTCCTGGTAGTTCTTTGTGGGTGATTTAGGGGGCTGCTCTTGTGTTGTGTTGTCGTCACTTCCATCGTCACCCCAAGGGAACTGTGGCTGCCCTGGAGGTGTCCAAGATCAGGCTGGAGCAACCCAAAGGTGTCCCTGCCCGTGGCAAGGGGTGGCACTGGGTGATTTTAAGGTGCCACCCAGCCTGAAGCACTGAGGGTTGTCCATGTGCAGTGGCGTGGCTCTGGCGTTAGGTCACATCTGTCACATGGCTCCCTGCTGAGCCCTCCCAGTGTCCCTGCTCCTGGCCAGCTCAGCTAAAACTGCCACCACCGTGTCACAGCTGTGCCCCACGGGACCATGGCAGGGAGGACACAGGCAGCAGTGCCCTCTGTTCATAAACACAGGCACTAAAGCAGCCTGGCACAGCCCTTCTCACTGTGACAGCAGCAGGAAAGCCTTAGCACAGGAGATAAAACCATGGCAAATAACACAGGGAGCCTGCAGAGACCCAGGGCTCAGGGCCCTGCTTAAGCTCAGCTCACAAACTTTGGGCACAAACAGTAACCAGAATGCAGTTTCGCTATTTTTTTTTTCCTGAGGCAGCTGCTTCTCCTGCAGCCCATGTGATCTGCAGCCAGTCTCTTCTCAGAGGATCTGTGATGAGAAGGATTGAGTTGCAAAATGTAGAACTGACCCAGACTCATTGTCACAGCAGCCAAGTGCTCAAAGCTGAGAAAGGAGATAGTAATCAGGAAGGAAATGCATTGATTTCCCGTAGGCCAGAAGATTATTTTGTTTAGCTCCTCTTTGAGAACATTACAGTAAGTGCCTGAAGTTAAAGCTTCTGAGGGAGAAGATTCTCAAAGCAATTTGCTTCCTGGAAAGATGGTGCAAAACTTTTTAAAATTAAAAATACTTCTGGCTAAAACCTTTTACTGCCCTGAAATGGAGACAGAGCCGTGTGAAAGCAGCAGGGGCAGAGCGTGTGCTCACAGGGCTCCTAGATAAGATGTCAGTGTTTGAGGAGGAGAGCTCTGCTCCAAGAAGGAAGGGCTTGGAAGGACAGTCCTCGTGTGGGATCTGCAGGTCCTGGTGTGCCAGCAGCATCAGCTGATTCCTGCAGCCTGGGCTGGAGGGACAGGGCTGGCTCTCACATTTCCAGGAGAACACGGAGCTCAGCACTTGAGTGCCAGTGGAGTCCTTCCAGGCAGCTCAGATGTGGAAAAATTTATAGGAAATGTTGAAATTGGAGAGCAGCAGAACTTACAGATGTGAGCTGACACTTGAATAAATAGATATGTAAATAGATAGCTGCAGGTAAAGCTGCAGGGGATGTGTGCTTGTAGCCACACTAAATACGTGTGCATGCAGCCACAGACATGCACGTGTATAAATATTTGAAAATCCTTTGTGTCCTGGCTTAACTTGGTTTTTTCTTTTCCTATCACTGCACATTTTGGCTCCAGCCTTTAAATGGAAACCTCCCAACGTGATGTTTTTACTGTTCATGACCTGGCAAGAGTTAAGGCAGTTCTAGAAAGCTGACGAATCTTCTCTTGTCCCATTTCTGGAAACAAAATCCAGTTGACCTCTGGATTGTGGGATGTTTAACGTGCGAATTGGTGTTGTTCCCCCTCTCACCTCCCCTCAGCCCTGCTGAGGATGGCTCGTGCTTCCTCTCCCAGCACTGTGGTGTATAATAAAAAGCCAGGAAATGGGGCCTGGGTTACGCAATGTGCAGCTCAGTAAAACAAACAGTGCAGACAATCCCCAGTATCTTCAGATGACTCAGTTGCAAACGTTGCTTCCTAGCAATGGAGCAGTGCCCTGCTGGAATAAACCTCCCAAACACTTGCAGTAAATGCTGGATGTTGTTTGTCCTAGTGAAGGTCACTTTCTCCAGCCCAAGTGATTATTGATTGGATCTCCAGGTTTCTAGGCCTTGCAACCCACACGTTTTGTTTTCAGCTTTGCTTGGTTTGCCTTTGGTAGCTTTGCTCCTGGATTTGAAACGGTCCCTATGCTTTGATTTGGGCTCTGCTGAGAGATGGTGTGAGCGTTCTGTTTTTCAGTAGGAACGGGAAAAAATGAATTGCTGGATGGTGCTGTCAGCAGCCAAGAACCTCAGTGGGGATGGAGCTGAGATGCACTTCTGAGGCAGCTTTATGTTGTCCCTTATCTGCAGCGGAGAAGGGCTTATTCCATCAGCACAGGCAGCACCCTCATGAATAGGCTGATGGCCCAGTGTCAGCCCCATTCATGGGGCTGTGTTTGGAGGGGGAAGGGAGGTGACCCAGCCCCATAAAGTTCCTATTGTTCTAAAAGCAGAAACATCTGCTGGAGGAGCTTTTTTGCTGAGCTCAGCAGCGGGGAGCCGCTCGTTGACCAGTTCTGGTCTTTCCACTCCGTATTTCCCACTCTTCTACATAATAATGCAGAATTTTCTTCTCGTAGGGAGGGCAAAAAATAGTTCGATTAACCGTGGGGGATACGTGCACTTGGGATAAATGAAAAGCTGGCAGACAAAGGGAGCTTTATGTGAGCTGGTGGCCAATAATGCTCAGGTTTCCAGAGCTTGGTGTTGCTGTTTACTTGTTACAAGCTTGTCACGAACCATAAACCTCACGGGATGCTCGTTCCGGCGGCGCGTCGGGACCGAGGGGGCGTGCTGGTGGTGTTTGTCCTTCCTTGTCACCTCGTGGCACTTTCCCAGGGCTGTGGTGAACTCCCGATGTGGTGACAGCCCACCGGCCTTTGCGAGGTGACTGCTGCACTTCACTATTCTCATCTCATTTTAGGCAAAAAGGTTCAGGTGCGTAAACCTGCACCAGGAGCTTCCGATGCTGTTCCCTCCAGGAAGCGCCCAACGCCAGTCAACCTTGCCAGTGCAATAAAGAGAGGCAATAGTGCGATTTCCCAGAGACCCTTCAAAGATAGGGTTGTGCACTTACTGGCACTAAAGCCTTATAAGAAACCTGAACTTATTCTCAGATTGCAGAAGGATGGACTTTCTCAGCAGGACAAGGATTTGCTGGATAACCTTCTGCAACAGGTTTGTACTCTGATGAAGGCAACGATTTAGGTAAAGGGAAAAAAAAAATGTCTTCTCAGCACTACCCCACCCCTCCCGTGGCAGTGGAATCTGTTATCTCCAGGCTGCAGCTGAATGTGACTCTAAAGGCTGTGGGGGACACAGTTCTCAGCTCCCAGTGCTGGTGCAGAGATAGCAGGAGCCTCCCGTGGCTACGCCTCGGGTTAGGGGGGTGCAACCAAGCTGGATGGTTTTGGCTCACCACATCAGTCCCTTTTAGAGGGACACTTCTGCTTGGTCATGGGGAGGATTCTCTTAACAGAGGATCTACAAATTATTTGATTATAACCTCTAAATCTCTATTTTATTCTCATGGATGTAAAGGAGCAACGCTCTATATTGGTACAAGTTCTGTATGTGAAGGAAAAGATGTCCCCAGGTTTTTTTTGTACTCCTCAGAGCCTTTCCTGCTTGGAAGTGCCAGTGGTCAGGTGTGAAGATCATGCAGCTCCTTGCCAAGCACATCATTTGTGTGTCAAGTGTGAAAGCTGTCTCCAAGCTGAATCAGTTCCTAGCACTTTGAGTCACATTAAAGGTGCCATTTTAGGCCTCGCAGTAAACACCTTCATTGCTTTATTAAACACATCATGGCTATTTATTTAAATGCTGCAGCTGCCTTCTTCTGGATTGGAATCGATTCTGGAAAAAAAACTCCTTATTTTTTTTTTCTTTTTTCCTCCTTTCCATAAAGAGTGAGACAGGAGTTCACTTTGCCCAAGGGCACAGGGCAGGTCGTATTAAAAACAGAGTCACAGCTGGCACAACTCGTTCCTTCCTTAGACTTTAATCCCAGAGCCCTTAATTTCCCAGCAGCGCTTTTTGCAGCACTTTTTCCAATTCTCTCCCTGAGTTTCAGAGTGAGAAAACTCTGTTTCTGCTGGTGGCTTTTGATGGATGCTGTGCCCGAGCCCTGGCGGGCGAGCGGCGCGTGCGGCGCCGGCCACGGGGCCGCCCTGCTCGGGCTGAGCGCTGCCTTGGCTGTGAACGTGGAGCTCGTAAAGTTAATCCCTCTCAGCCCTCCCAGGGCTCCCATCCACAGGCAGACGCAGATAAGCTAAAAATTACAGGCTGTGTTAAAGCTACGCAGCTAAATCTGTCTAGGTGTGGGTTTCATTGTGCTCTTGCATCTCTCTCGCAGGACTCCGTGTTCCTGGCGGCCTTTTTGCCTCATTTTGCAAGGTTTCTATTTTTGGGAGGGTTGGGGTGGAGCTTGCAGAGTCCCACACGAGCAAAACAAGGAGGTAGCAGCTCTCAGCCTCTGTGCAGAGAAAAATCCAAGTTGTTCTTTCCAGGCTCCAGGAACAGGCAGGAAACAGAGAAATTCTGGGAGAAGTTGTTGTTTTGGTGCTTTTTTGTTTTCTTTTTTTTTTTTTTTTTTTTGTAAAGGAGAACCTGGATTGGCTTTTGTCTCCTGGGTGTGTTTACAGGGATACCTCGATGTAAAACACAGCTCAAATTCTTGTTGTATTTTGGCTCAGGATTTTGGAAAGCTGACAGGACTGAAAGGAAAAACAAAGTGTTTGTCATGTAAACTGATAACTGGGCTTTCTATTTTTTGCTTATCGGGAGAGTTTGCCATGGTGGTTGTGCAGCCTTTTGCTCTGAAATGCCTAGATTTTTAATATTTTTATATTAGGTTGTAGCCTCCCTAAAGCAAAAGCAGGGGAATCAGCAGCATCTTCAGTTCATTCAAGACTTCCCACTCCTTTGCTTGTTTTTGAGGCATTTTCCTGCTGTGTGGATAATAGAAATCCCTGAGCACAGCCACGTCCTGAATGGAGAACAGTAATCCCTAAACAGATGCACAAGATCTCCAAGCACTGAATAAAAGCATTTTCCACTTTCAAGGGTAGCAGTCCCCGAGCTGAGGGGCTCCAGCAGGGAATTTGGGCTGCAGCTGCTGGCTTTGCCTGGCTGTGGGCAGAGCATTTGGCACCTGGGCCTCCTTATCCCTCTTCACAAACACATTGAAGGCTTTATTTTCATTTGAAACTTGCAAGCTGAGCTTGCCCAGAGAAGCTGCCCCATCCCTGGGAGTGTCCAAGGCCAGGTTGGAGCAATCTGGGATAGTGGGAGGTGTCCCTGCCCTTGGAATCTGATGGGACCAAACCATTCCATGACACTCTGGATCACCCAGGAGAGGTTCACTCTCTGTGAAAGCCTCACTGGGGCTCTTTGCTTTGTTCCAACTCTGGATTTTCAGGCTTGTACCAACAGCAAGAAGTTAAATTTTCAGTCAGGCTGTGGAAAGACTGATCCAAGCGGGGTAACTCTTTCCCAAGTCATTTCCATTCTAATCCAGCTCTGCCCATTCCAGCAGCTTCTCCTCTCTGTGCAGGCACCATGCAGAGTTTTGTGGGGAAACTCCACGGGGTAGGGTTGGATAAAATGTCAGGCAGCTGCTGGTGCAAGTGTGCTGAGCTCCCTGCAGTGCTCTGCTGGCCTGAAGCTGGAAATCCCACGTTCTCTTCTTGCCCTGGAGAAGTTCTCCATAAAATCCAGGTGGTCCCAGGGCATTCTCCTCACAGCTCCCTGAGAAAGCAGCTCTCTGTGGCCTGTTTTGTTGGCTCATTAGTGAGAAATTATCTCCTGGCAATTGTTAACCAAGTTATCGCCCTGAGAGTTCCTCTTTGGCCATAAACTGCCCCATTTTGGCTGTGGGACAGGTGTGATAAGTGAACTGCCTGTTCCCATTAAGGCTTTATTTCCAGGTGTTTCCATCAAGTGGTGTTGTGCTGGTCCAGGCTCCCCAAGCTGAATAATCTCTTTTAGATATGACTTATTTCCTACTCAACTGGATGTGCTTTAGAAACTCATTATGAATTATTGCAGTGACAAGGCGAAAGGAAAGGCACAGTTTGATTAAATAATCTTAATAATAAGGAAATGAAATATTAAAGTCTCTCCTAGTTCTCTGACACTACTAACAGCTGCTAAGTCTGCTCAGATTTTACCTTCATCTTAGCTCTTGTTTGGTGGAGGAAGTGAGAAAATGAAAGCCTAATGATGGTTTTCCAAATTCCTTCTGTTCCAGGTGGCAAATCTGAGTGCCAAGGACAGCACTTTCACACTGAAAGATTGTGTATACAAAGAAGTGCAGAAGGACTGGCCTGGCTACTCAGAAGGAGATCAGCAGTTGTTGAAGAGGATCCTCGTTAGGTAATTATCCATTTTCTTCTCTGTGATATCATCCAGGGAAGGTTCTGTAAATCAGGGTCTGTAAGTTGAGTGTGTGACTTACTTTGACTTGATTTTAAACTGTCCATCACCCAGGGACCTGTAGGAGTGGACTAAACTTGAAAATCCAAGTGGATCCACTCTTCACGTCATCCTGGGCTGTTTTTAAATCACTGGGGGCAAAGCTTGGGGGAGACCTGCCAGGGAGCAGAGCTGGTAGAGTTAACACTGCTGGTCTAAAATGCTGGGAGATGAGGGGATTAAATGTCTCCAGCTCAGCTCTCCTTTGAAACTCTCCTTCCTTTTTTCCACATCTTCCTGTGCAGGCTGAAGTGTTTCATCCCTAAATCTGAGATTGGGTTGAAATCGTGGATGTGTGGAAAAGCAAGAGGTTGTTCTGTAGGGATAAATCCCTTTAAAATCCTGCTGGTTGTCCTGCTTGGAGTGTGATCTCTGTTCCCCTGTTCCCTCCTGGAACAGCCCTCAACTGACTCAGTTCATCCTTATTGCTGAAATTTTTTTCCCTCTAGAGATATTTTCCTTAGGTGAAGCCTCCAAGCTTGGAAGCTTCTGGCTGGCAGGGAAAGAAATCTTCCAGTTTTACACAGAATTCTGCTCTCAGTGTTGATATTTTTCAGTGTCTTGGTTCAGATTTTGTCATGCAGGCAGAGCTTTTACTTGTGCTTTATTTTATTGCACTTTTGGTTAAGCTGAAGCACAGCATGCTCTGTTTGAGCACTTCCCATGATTTAAAAGCACAATTGACTTGGAGATGAGACTTTTTAAACCAACAGAAAACTTGCACTCCAAGTGCTTTGGTGTGCTCAGGGAAAAATCAAAACTCATTTAAATGGCCTTGATGTGAAATTATAATTAAAAGAAAAAATACAACTGCCATGCAATCTTTATGGCTTTCAAAAAAAAAAAAAAATACCCAAAGTGAATTTCTCCCTGTAGAAAAGCCATGTTTACTCCTTTTTCTAGAATTGTGGCATTCTCTTAGTCCAGGGTCTAAAAATAGACCTTGGAAAGGATGTATTCAACTGTACAAACAAAACCCTGCTCAGGCAGTGCAGGTAATGAGGCTCCAAAATGGGAAAAAAAAACATGTTGGGTTGAAGACAGGAGAAAAACAGAAAAAGGGCACAGGAGGCAGCAGGGTCTGCATCACCACCCAATTGTTCCAGGTCCTCCTGGATTTCAGGGCCACTCAGTGCCTCAGCAGCTGCACTAATTAACACATCTGCAGATACTAAAGCTGGGTCTAACTAGGCTTGGGTTAAACCAGCTCGTTTTTCCTCCTTTTTTTATGTTTTCCATCCCTCTGTCACCCTGGAGGAGCCTGGGCTGTGGGAGGTGTCCCAGCCTGTAACTGGCTGAGCTTTCAGGTCCCTCCATCCCAAACCATTCCAGGATTCCCTGAGATCTTTCCTCTGCTGAACTCAGTGCTTTCATGACTCCTTAAATCCATAATTAACAATTAGAAGGTGTGACAGTCTTGCTCCAAAAGCCACTTTCACTGGGGTGTTTGGGCAGTATCAGTGTCCCCATGTTCACCGTCCCCAGGTCCTTTCCTTGAGTTGATCTGTGGCTGCTGAGGTTGTTTTAAATAAAATTAAACAAAGCCAGGACAGTGGTGACACTGCAGATGTCTAAATATTGCTGGAGCACAGCCCAAGGTTCAAGCTCAGGTTAAAAGCCAGATCTTGTCAAGTCCTGAGCGTTATCTCTGAGATAAATCTTCCCAATGTTTAAAGGATATGAGTGAGCTTTAATGCTGATTCCAGTTGCTTGTGGGAGAATTTAAAAGTGGGGTTATTCAGGCTCCACAGCTCCTGACAAACTGACTGCAGAGCTGCTTTATTAAAACCTTTAACCCTGAATTCTATTTTGTTTTTTCAGTTTGTCAGCTGCAACTTGATGCAAGAGTAGGTTTTTTTTTGGGGGGCGGGGGAATGATTAATTGAGGGGCAGTCTGGTGTCAAAATACTCTGAGATCTGCAGAGGAGCAGAGACCCAGCCTGGAGGGGAATTCAGGTGATTCTAATTGTACTTTTTGTTGCTACAAAAGGTTTTTTTTCTTTTGTCCAATACCACAAATACAGCCCAGAGTAGCTCTGTTTTGCGTGATGCAACTTAAAAGTATTATTGGGAAGCCCAAAATGTAAATCCTGGTGGACCAATAATACCTCAGCAGTTCCTGTTATAATGCTGCTTTTCCAGGACCCAGAGGAGCTCGCTGCTGAAAGGGCTCCTGTTGCCATAAAATGTTGTTTTAATGATGCTAATGAGTGAGAGAACTTATTCCTCAACCTCTGAGCTTGAGTTTCAGCCCCTCTTCAGTGGGCTTTGCTTTCTGAGTTGTCTCAGAAAGCAAACACTCAGCAGAAATTTGTTTAATTAATGTCTCCCTGAGCTGTATTTCAGTCAGCAGGAATAATATCTGATATCCTTTACACCTTCAAATTCAATGCCACTTTCACTGATCTCCGTGTGAATTATGTTTCTGAGGCTGGAATTAATTTGTTTTAATTCTTACGTCACCAGTTCAAGAGAAAAAATGTAAAATGGTTAAAAAAGGAGTTCCAAATTCAACAGGGAATCCTTTCATGTGTCCCAAGAGCTCCAAGGTGTTGCTTCCATTGCCAAAAGAGCCACAAAAATCATGGGAAAGCAAGAAAGAGATGAGGAATTCCAATTTATCCGTGATATTTTCCCGTAGTAGTTTCTCCTCCCCGGATTTTGTCAGAGACCAGAGCCTGACCGAGCTCCTTCGTGGCACCTTCCAGCAGAGTTTGAGGCCAGGAAGAGCCCCAGGTGTGCAGTGCCACCTGTCCCCTTGGCACGGGCAGTGACCAGCCCCGTTGTGTTTTGCAGGAAGCTGTGCCAGCCCCAGAACAGCGGCGCTTTCCAGGGAGAAGCTCCTTCCCTGAGCCCTCCGAAGGACACCCTCAACTCCAGCTCTCCCCCTCAGGTGGGTGATCCCCCTCCCAGCCCCTGATGGGTTTTGCTGCTGGCCCTGGGTCCAGGCTGAGCTGTGCCTGTCTGCACCCTGTAATCACCTGCTGCCGGGTCAGGAGGTCCTTGGGGTTTTATTTCTGTTTTATTAACTTGGAGTCTCATTCTGGCTTTGCTCAGCATCTGTTTCTCCTCTGGACGTGGGCCTGTGGGGAGGATCTCTGACAATGAGGCTCAGGTTTAGTTTTTAAGGGCTAAATTCCTTTTGCAGTGCCTCCATCCCTCCTGGAGTTCCTGGGAGAAGGAGCTTGTGTTTTCCTCATTACTAATAATTGAGTGGAACGAAGCTGTAATAAGCAGCTCCCAAACATGGCTGAGTTATTAAAACCCTTGACCTTTTGCAGCCTAATTGCCATGACAGATCAGGGGCAGGTTGGGCTGCTCCTGCCTGGGAGATGCCAGAGCAGGGAGCTGTGAAAAGAACATTTTGCCTGTTTTTTCCATGACCATAAACCACACAGGAGCCACGTTTGACGTGTGTCAAGCAGAGTTTTGTCCCCACTTCTCCCAGGATCTCCCAGCACAGGCGTTGCTGGCGTTGTGAAACGTTCTGCCTTCCCTTCTTCCAGTGTGGGTCAGCCCAGACAAGTTGAGTATTTATTCTTCTCCTGCCAATGGAATGTGTAATGCCTGCTTGTCTGGACAGACGCACCGAGGATTAGTGGCAAAGAATATTAACAGGTAAAGAAATTATGTGCTCTCTGGCACTGAGAGAGAGGCAGTTCTCTGGTTGAGAACAAGGACTGTGTAACTTGTTTGCCAGGTAGCTGATTCCAAATCCTCTCCTGCTCTGCTGTGGGCATGTTCCTGGTGAATGAAGAATGATCACCTTCAAGTTAGCTCTGAAAGATCCTGGTCTTGTGTCATTTTTTTAAGGTTGAAAAATCATCTTGTTTCTCTGGCTGTCCATATTTTAAGGATTCAAAGGTCTTTAGGGTGAGGTTTTTATCTCTCAGAATGACCCAGCTGAAACTTTGGGTGGTTGGTTGGGTTGGATTTAGGAAAGGCTGGTGAAACAGGGACAACCCAATGTGGAATAGAAATGTTTCCAGCATGATTCTGTCGTGTCAGACAGCAAACCACAGCATTGTGAGCTGTCACTTTTTTAATACTCTCTGGCTGTAGTTTCTATTTAGAGAAATGGTTTGTAATGGGTGCAGTGCCAGCAGAGGATTGGGATTTGGTAGGCTGGAATGCAGAATATTTTGGGAAGGTTCATCTGTGGAATGAAGGTGAAGAGGATCGGTCTGGTAATTCTAGAAAATGGATGTATATAACCCTCCTAACCAGAGAGATGAGTTTGGAGAAGCAGATATCGGTTGTTTTTAGAGAAAAGGTTGTAAAATGTGGCAGATTTTTGAGCTCTGTCACCTGTTCAGAGCCCTGCAGATGGAGATGGCCCCTCCTGGGGGAGGTGATGTTGCCAAGCCGGTCGGACGTGCTGTCCTTGCCCCTTGAGCTCAGTGGCAGAACCAGCAGCTCTTCCTTAATTACCCTGACAGGTGGAAAGAATTCCTGGCACCGAGCAGTGTCCTCAAGACCCCTGAGTTAGCAAAGAGAGAGAAAAATCCAGGTGAAAAAGAGGGAATTAGGGGCTGCTCCAGCCACCATCCAGCTGGATGGAACAACATTTCCATTCACAAACACGTCGCGATCCTGCCTGAGACAGAAAGAAAATAATGGATTATCCAAAAGAAATACCCAGAGCTATCGCTTGTTTTCCTCTGGGCACAAAATCATCTTTGGCTGAGAGCTGTTGCAGCCCCAGAGCTGCCAGGTGGGCACACAGTGAGGGTGGTTTTGGCTGGGCTGAGCCTGATGGATGGCTTCTTCCATGGAGCAGCTTTTCCAGGCTGGAGGCAGCTGCCTCCAAGGTGTGGGCACAGCTGGGAACCACTTCCTTCTCTACCCTTGCTCAAAAAAGGGTTGCTCAGATCACGTTGGCCCCTGTGACGTGGCTTTCTAGATGTCCCCTTTTGCCTGAAATTCTGAGAACTGAAATTCTGAGCACTTGGCACTTCCTCCCCTCTTCCGGGCAATGCCTCGCTCTTGAGAAGAGGAAGGAGCGGGGAAGGGTTGGAGCTCTTGGCCACAGAGCTGGGAATAAAATGCAGAACTGATGAATCCCTCCTTGCTCCAGAGGGCTGAGCACGTTTTTCCTTCACAGGGACTTTGGAGTGCTCAGGACAGATGTTTTTATCCTGGAGTTGTTTGGGTTGGAAGGGAGCTTAAAGCTCATCCAGTGCCACCCCTGCCATGGGCAGGGACACCTTTCACTGTCCCAGGGTGCTCCAAGCCCTGTCCAGCCTGGCCTTGGGCACTTCCAGGGATATTTCCAATCTCTAATTGCCTGGAACAGGGGGAGGGAGGCTGCAGGGTTTGAGTTCCAAAGGGCTGGGTTTGAAAGAAGCTGCAGTGAGAGCAGGCTGGGGCTGTGGATAATAGGGGGGGTCAGGAATTGCTGATGGGATTTTTTAAGCTGTCCCACCAAACCCTGGGCTCTGGGAAGCAGCTTGGGATGGATAAGCTGCTTTTCCCGAGGATATTCATCCTTCTCCCCTGTATTGCACCACCACCTAGTGGCAACACCCAGCTCCACTCCTGCACCTTCAAGGCCATTTATTTCTCCTTTTTTCCCCCCCCTCTCCCTAACAGAAACGACCCTTACCTGTGGAGTTCATCGACCCCCTGGCCAACAAAAAGCCCAGGATCTCCCATTTGGCTCACAGAACCCAACCCACTCTCAACGGGAAGCTGAATTCCTCCAACGGGAAGGACAGCCTGGCCCCCCCTGCCCTGCCCCCGGCTCTGCCCGAGCCCCCCGTGAGCTCCAGCTCCTCCCTCCCGGCCCTGGAGCTGCCCAGGCCCCACGATCCCCTCTCGGATGTCAGCAACGACCTGACTCACAACGGCAGAGACTGTGAGAGCAGCACGGAGCCTCCCGAGAGACTGAGTCACCCCCTGCCCACAGACTGTGCCCAGAGCAGCAAACACAACTGCGGCTCCTACGTCAAATCCAAGAAAAAATCCAAAAAGCACAAAGACAAGGAGAAGGAGAGGAAGGAGAAGAAGAGCGAGGAGAAGTGCAAAGAGGAGAAGCAGAACTGTGAAGTAATAAAAAATGCTGACTTAGTTAGTGTTCCCCAGGAGCAGGTCCCAGGTGAGTGGGGGCCCAGAGGTGCTTTGGTGTTGGCTGGGTGTGATGCCAGGATTCCCTGGAGGAATAATGGGCACATCCTGGGCCGTCCCAGGTGCTCTGGGGACCCAAATGCCAGCGCTGTCCTCCTTCCAAATCACCAGAGGTGCTTCCTCTCCACACAGGCTATCAGGTTTTTCCTGTTTAACCTTTTGGAGCTGCCTCAGAGCGTGTCATGTTTCTCCTGGTTAAATTAAAAGCTGGGATAATCTGTGGGGATGAAAGGCTGGGAGCAGTGGGAAGAGCAGTGCAGCGCTTGTGTTGGCTGTTGTGATGACTGTTGTTTGGGTTTTTAATGAAAAGTTACTCACAAAAGCTTTTAAAATTGGCTACAAAAGAAATGATAGATAAACCTGGTGATAAATGCTGTTAAAGCAGTGGAGAACCAGCTCTTCCAGGCTGGAAAAGCTTCCTCACATCCCACTGGGCTGGGGATTTATTTATCCAAGGACTGACACAGCAGTGAATCTCACTGAGGTGGGGTGAAAACATTTTCCATCAAGCCACTATTCCAAAGGCAGCTTAGAAGTCAGAGCAGAGAATATTTCTTGGCTGATCCCATCCATTCCTTTTCCTGCTGTTTCCATGTTTTCTGCTGTTTGTTACAGCTCCCCAGAGCACTGGGACTTTCCCTGCAGCCTCTGGGAATATCTGTTAAATTCCTTTGTGCGTTTTCCTTCACCCTGTTACTATTTTCTACATTTCCCTTCCTCTTTGGTACATCAAAATCCTCCAGTTTTGGCTCCAAAAGGACAATATTTTGGAATGGAGACTGGTTTGCTGGATTCCTGGAAAGGGGGAACTTCTCAGACTGTTGGGATTGAGCTGCTCCCAGCCCTCCCCTTCCCCACAGGCTTTGCAGCAGTGACAAAATGCATTCTGATGGCTCAGCAGTGACTGCTCAGGACAGTCCGTGGGGCTGATGGCTGTGTGGCACTGCAGAACTGAGAATTCTTCTACTTTTGTGTCAATCCCAGGTTTTTTTCTGTGGCTCTTGTGTTTTTTCCACGTTGTTTCTCTTCCCCATGAGCCTCTGGAGTGGTTCTGGAGAGACACTCACACAGTCTCTCTTTTTCTCTTATAAATACCCAAAATCCTGGGAAATTGCTGAGCCTCCTCCACCACCTTTTCTGCTTCTCTTTACTGTTTAATTCCTGGATTTTTGTTAATTATTGGGGGTTGGGGTTTGTTGCTGCTGCTGTTTTGAGGTAACAAATGCAAGCTGGGCTGGGAGCAATCATAAACAGGATGTGGTCAGTCCTGCTTGGATCCTGGACAGCCACAACTGGGATGTTTTCCTTCTGTGGGCAGCACCAACCTCATCCTGCTCCTTCCCCAGATTCCCCCCTGGAGCTGTAGGGAAGCAAAAAATCACAAAAAGTTTGGGTTGGAAGGACCTTAAAGATCATCTAGTTCCACCACCTGCCTTGGGCAGGGACAGCTCCTGCCAGGAGTGGGAGTTTCTCCCAGGAATTTTGTTCCAGAGCCTCTGGAGGGACCTTTGGGGTCCTTTCAGTCAGTAGGTGGCACTCACAGGCAAAATAAACCTCCTGTGTCCCTTCCACCATCCTTAAACCCTGTTCTGCATCTTCCAAGCTGTGGTCAGGAAAGGGGGGGAAAAGCAGGAGGAGCTGCAGCAGGAATTTGGGATTGGGATGGTTTCAGAAACTCTGGGGTTGTGCCATTCTCCCATCCTGCTCAGGAAAGCTTTTCCCTGGAAATTCAGAGGAAATTCCATCTTTTTAAGGATGCAGTCGGGGTACTGCTGACTCAGGTTGTGCAGCTGGATCTGCTGAGGGTTTGGAATGTGACACACGTTTCTAATAATTTGTGGAAAATATCCCTTTCCAAACGTGGATCCAGCTGCTTTCCCCCTCCACGTTTACCCTGCACTGCTTGGTGGATGTGGAGGATGAGCCTGCTTTAGGTTTATTCTGTTCTTCCTTCAGTTTCTGAACATTCTTTAATGCCTGGATTTGTGTTTGGAGCTGCATTCCCTAAAATCCTCTCTGTGGGACTCTGGGATTTTCATTCAGGAATCTCTCCCTGGAGATGCCAGAGGAATGTCTCAAGTGTAGAAGCAGGAGAACAGAAGGTTCACCTTGCCCAGCTCAGCTCTCTGGGCTCAGGGCTGTGTTTTCCTGCTCCCCAGTGGTGCTCTCAGTGTTATCTCACTCCAGGCACTGTTTATCCACCAATTAATTCAGATTTTTTCCCTGCTCGGTGCACAGGCTGATGTTGGTGTTGTTTTGCTGACAGACAAATACTGGAGGAGCCTTGAACTTTCAGCCACCTTGTTGTGGCTCCTCTGCCTCTGTCAGTTCCAAGCAAAACAGAAATCCTTTAGAATTCCATAAACTGTATATTGCAGGCAAGTTTTACGAGTTTGAAGCTGAATTGCAAAGAGCTTTGAAGTTTAAGAACGTCTATAAACAAATCTTTATTTTTTCAGGTTTAAATGGAACATGCAATAATTCTAGTGTACCAACATCAACTTCAGAAATGCCAGATTATTTATTGTAAGTATTTTTATCAGTTGCTTCATCACTTTGGGATCATGTTTCAAGCTAAGAAATCACAACGTGCTGGGGATTTTTGTTGGACTTTTTGTGTCATTTGATAGAACTTTGTTAAGTGGGTGTAAGGAAAAGAGTAAACCCAGCTCTGCAGGTTAATAGTTGAGACTAAACTTGATATCAAAGCTGGTTTTTACCTCCTTGAGGAGTTCAAGGTTATCTCCTATAAATTGTTTAAGCACTTCAAGAAACATTTCATACCTTTGAGGGGTTTGTAAGGATTAAACATCTCCACGTTCCAGCTGGGAACTTGGAGAGGGAATAATCTGCTTTTGTGCTGGGGAAGGCAGGGCAAGGAAGGATTTGGGGTGGTTTGTTAATTCTTGCCCTCTTCAGAGCCAAGATCATCTCCATAAAGCAGTGAAATATTCTTTCCTGGGAGGCTCTAACCCCTGGGTTAGGATCTGAGTTGTTTCTTGACTCTTTAATCAGATCCCCTCGAGGTTAATTAAACAACCAAAGCCCAAAAAAATCCCTGTGAAGGAAGCCCAAAATCTGCATAAACCCAAACCTGTTCTAAATAAAGCTTTGGGGTAGGGAAAAACTTGTAGCTGGGGGGGAAAATTCCCTGTTCATGTCCCAGCCTTGGGGTTGTTTCCATCAGAGCTGGTTTGGCTGTGCTGGGATTGCTGGGAGGGAAGGGATGGAGGAGGAGGAGGAGGAGGAAGCTCTAGGGCAGATAAAGGTTTCTGCTGTGGTTTCTGCTTTGCTGGGCTGGATCAGCCATACAAACAACCCCTTCAAGGTGACATTTTTAGGGTTGTTCCACAGAATTTGTGTGGCTGGAGGTGTTGTTTTTTTTTTTCTCTCACCCACGTGCTGATCCCTCCCAAAATGGGATATTGCAAAATGGGATCCAGAATGGGATATTGCAGCTCCTTGGGCCCTCCCCAAAGAAACTGGGAGAGGTTTCTGAGCTCTGGGAGCTCTGTGGTCTCACCCAGTGTGATCTGACTGGTTTGTGCCCAGCTCCTCAAATTCTAAAACCTGTCACTGCTGTTTGATGCTCTTTATCCTGTGTGGATGGTTCTTTATCCCTGGCAAGGAGCCTGTTCTAGAAGTTTAGAGCACATAAAAAGTTAAAAAACTGAAAGTTTTCCCCTTAATTTGAGGCCTAAATCAGCTTTTCCATGTTCAGGCACCACGCTGGCCCTGCAGCAGCCAGAGCAGGGAGACAAATCTGAGCCATCACCTACCAAAAGATGAGTTTTACCTTCAGAGAGAGCTGTAAATATCAGCTTTAATGGCTTCTTGTTGAGCAGAATAACTTCCAAAAGGCCCCCAAAGGCACATCAGTTCAACCTGAGCTCAGGACACATCAAGTGTCTCTAGAAGGTGCTGGAAATAGAGTTGCTGGTGGGGAAAAAAAAAAAATAAAACTCCTCACCGTGGTTTCTTGTGGTGTTCTTGCCACATAATCACCCTGCCAGCATTTTGCAACGATGGCTCAATGCTTTTTGTGTTCCTTTAAAGACTCTTAACACTGGAAGCATCATATTCCTGCTGTTCCAATGCCTGGCACAGATGCAGAACTCCATGTTCTGCGGGCCAGCAGGAGTCAGAGAAGCTGTAGCAGCACTATCTGAGTGTCCTCCTCCACCCCCAGCTGCTCCAGGCTTGGCTGTACCTGCCCATTCCACCCTATCTGGCAGAGATAGGAAGTTTTGGGAGCAAACATTGTTTGTTTTACAGGAGGTCAAGGCAGCAATCCTTGGTGGTTGCCTCTGTGATTTGCTACTTTTAAGTCAGGATGAGAGGAAACGGCCTCAAGCTGCACCAGGGGGGTTTGGATGGGATTATTAGGGAGAATTTCTTCACTGGGACAGGGAATCACCATCCCTGGAGGGATTTAAGCCATGTGGATGTGGCACTTGGGGATGTGGTTTAGTGGTGGCCTTGGCAGTGCTTGGGATTTGATCTTGGAGGGCTTTTCCAGCTTTAATCCTGGAATGGTTTGGGCTGGAATGAGCTGAAACCCATCCAGTCCCACCCCTGCCACGGGCACAGGCACCTTCCACTACCCCAGGGTGCTCCAAACACTTCCAGGCGTGAGGCAACCACAGCTTCTCTGGGAATTCCATCCCAGACCCTTCACAGTGAAGAATTCCTTCCCAAAACCCCATTTGGATGATCCTAAATTATCCATGATTTTATTTCCACGCTCATCCCTCCATGCTCGGCAACCCAGAGAGAATCCCCTAAAACCAATCCCCCCCTAAAACCAAACCCCCCAAACCAACCCCCCCTAAAACCAATCCCCCTAAAACCAATTCCCCTCCTCAAAACCCAGTGACCAAACCCTTTTCCCCCTTGCAGAAAATACGCAGCCATTTCCTCCTCGGAGCAGCGTCAGAGCTACAAAAACGACTTCAACGCGGAGTACAACGAGTACCGGGACTTGCACGCCCGGATAGAGCGGATAACCCGACGGTTCACCCAGCTGGATGCCAAGCTGAAGCAGCTTCTGCAGGGCTCTGAGGAATACAAGGTAGGAGCAGAGGTGTAAAAGCTCCTTTCGGAGCTGCAGGTCTTTGGTTTGCTCTCTTTGGGCTGGGTCGGTGTCTGAATTCCAGCCTCGGAGCTGCTGGGGAACGTGCACACAGCTGACAGCTTTGGGGAATGCTCCTAACCCAGCTCTGTGCTGCTCCTTTTTCAGGCTGGAGCCACATCATGGGACTTGTTGACAAGGAAAGGCCTCAGTGAGACAATTGGTGTCCTTAGCCAAAAGCTGCTGGAAGCTATTAGTGTATCCCAGCCAGAAAAACTCATATTTGCACATATGGGAGCGTATCAGGGCTGGAAGGGGAGTTAGCACGGGGTCATCTGTTCCTCTGCAATCTTTGATCTTAATAATGCAGCATTATTGGGCTTGTCAGAGTGATTTTTAAAGAGTTTTAGCTATTCATTAGCTTGAAAAAGTGAGTCTCGTCGAGGATAATAAACAGATTTTTACAGAGCACCTATTGTGCTAAGCACAGCTTCCTCCCTCAAACCTCCTGCCCTTCTCCTTGCAAAATTGCTCGTTGGATTGTTTTTAGATCTTGGTGGGGGGGGGAAAAAAAGATCAGCTGGGGCTTTGGAAATGTGAATTATCCTGGAATCCAGGTGCTTGTCACAGGTGGGGACTGGGACTTCATCCTTCTGTGTCAGCTCCAGGATATCCATGGAATCAGAGCTGGCTGTAGCCTGTGGATCTGCCCAGGGAAGCCATGGAGGCAGCAGATTTTGGTTGCAATTTGGAGGAATTGTGTACATTGAGTAAATACCTACTGCAGAACTGAAAATAATACCCTCTTTTTTTTCCCTCTCTTTTTTTTTTTTTTTTTTTTTTTTTTTTTTTTTTTTTTTTTTTAAGACCATCCACGATCAAATTTTACAGGAATATCGAAAAATTAAAAAGGTAAGGGAATGTCCTTGGCCACAGAAGGCTTTTGGGTGGTGCCCCTGGTGTGACTGAAAGAGATGGGCCCTTGCCAAGAGCAAACCCAGGCTCTGAGGCAATTCCAGCAGATCTTTGTTCAGCTCCAGCCCGTCCCTAAAAGCAGCTCAGAAAGGGTTTGGGGGGAGCTGGGAGTGCCCCTGGATCCTGGGGCTCGCTGAGCCGTGGCCGTGGCACAATGGCTGTGTTCACCCAGGGCCTTTATCTCTCCAGGGAAGGAACAGTTTGTGTTTCAGATGCACAGGCTGAGGGATAACAGGATCCCAGCTGGGATCAGGCTCTGTCTGGAGCTCTGTCCCCACGTTTTTGGAGTTTGGGGCGTGTAAAATTTCAGTATTTTTATGCAAAGCATCCGCACGTCAGTGGGGATTTGGGGGTTTTTATTTTAAATAAGTAAATATGGTCCTGAGCCCTGTTGTCCTGAGGGATTTAGGAGCTCTTTGAAGATATTCCCTGCATGTTGGGAGTTCATCTTTGTTCCAGAGGTGGGGGCAGAGGGCAGGTGGTGATTGTTGGAAGCTCAGTTAGGCTGAGCCTATCTCAGGTGTGCTCCTTCCCTGTGAGGAGGCTCCTGGAGCTGGATGATGCTGAAAAGGGATTTTGTTCTTGGCTGGGTTGGATCAGAACAGGATTATTTTCAAGAGGGATCTACAAAAGCTTCTTTCCATGGTTTTAAACTGAAAGAGGGGAGGTTTAGGTGGGATATTAGGAGGGAATGGGAGGGAATTCCCAGAGAAGCTGTGGCTGCCCCTGGATCCCTGGAAGTGTTGGATGGGGCTTGGGACAGTGGAAGGTGTCCCTGCCCATGGGATGAGATGATCTTTGCATTCCCTCCAACCCAAACCACCCCATGATCTGCTCTGTGCTGTCAAGGCTCAGCTTTGATTTGTCCAGAACCTTTCCCACCTCTGCACTTCCTCTTTTTTGTTTTTTTTTTGTTTTATTTTGCAGACAAACCCCAACTACAGCCAAGAGAAGAACCGCTGCGAATACCTCCACAACAAACTGGCCCACATCAAAAAACTGATAGCAGAGTATGACCAGCAGCAGTTTTAGCTGCCACTCACCCCTGGACTGGGTAGGGCAAACCAAAATCCAGTCACCCTGGACGTTACGTTCCCTTTTATACACCCAAAATCCCTTTCAGAGACGAGCATTAATTCCTCGTGGTTGAAGAACTTGGGGATGACTTTAAGATGCCAGATCTGTCATGTCCACGTCCAGCACGCTCCTCCCGAGTTTTTAAGCCTCTCTGAATGTTGGAATGTAACAAATGGATAACAAAAACAAACAAACAAAAAAAAAAACAAACAAAAAAAAAGAAAAAAATTCTGCTTATTTGAAGCCAGCGTTTGACACTTAAGGGAAAACTTGCCTAAAGTGACCGAAGCTCCCAAAGGTTAAGAATCTGTAGTTTTCATGGATTAAAAGTTTGGCATGAAGTTGTAATAATTCCCCAGCTCCACGTGGGTTACAAAATTGTCCTACAAATGGTGAGGAACTGGAATTGCTGCTAGGACTGTTTGGAATGAGAGCTGTGTGCTCCCGGCTCCGCGGAAATACACCACGTTCCTTCCCTGAGCTCTCCTTGTCTGGCCCTGCTTTGTCATTGGCATCCTCGGGGGGTGGGGGGTGCTGGCAGCACAGGGGGTCCCCTGGGGGCTCAGCACTTTGGCCAGGGCAGAGGTGGATCCCAAAAAAAAAAGAAAAAAAAACCAAACCCCAAAATCCCCTTTTTTTTATCTGCTTTGTGTGTTTGGGTGCAAAACCTCCTGCCCAGTCTGCCCAGTTCAGCTCCAGCCACCAGTGCTGGGGAGATGGAGACCTGTCTGGCTTTGACTTTTCTAATTTTCTACCAAGGCAGCCAATTTTGTTAATTGCTAATGAGACTATGGTCTATTTTTATATCAAAGAAAAAAAAAAAAAAGCATCTTTTTTCTAAAACTGTGCCTCCCTTTTCCTTTTAGGCCAAGTGCTTGGGACCCTTTCCTTGCAGTATTACTAAAACTGACCCAAGAGTCACCCCAAGGAGTGACTTTATTCCTTGATCCATGACAGGAGGGGGTGGGGGGTGCTCTGCTTTCTCCTGGGGTATTTTTTTTTTGGTTTTTTTTGTGTCTGTGTGTGTGTCTTTGCAAGGCAGCAGCAAATCCTTGTGAGAGCAGTAAGGTGCTGTTTTCCCACGCAGATCCCTTCCACTGGTGTGCTTTATCTCAGCCAGCTTCTCCCTGCAGTCCTGCTTCCTGATTTTTTTATTTAATTCTTTACTTTGGATTGAAGGGAACGTTTTAGAGTATGGCCAGGGTGTGAGAAACACTCCAAAAAGCACAAAGGTGTCCTTTAACTCTGCTGTTCCTTTCTTTCTCTCCCCTCTCCCCTTTTTAATCCTGCCAGCCTTTGGGATTTGACTTCTTCCCGCTTCCGTTTATCTCAAAGTAAAGGATTCCTTCCCTGTGGAGTCTCCTTCCCTTGGAGGTTGCACTGAAGAGCCTTTCACCCTTTCAAGGAGAGGAATGGCAGAGTTCAGGAGGGAAACACTTCTTACAACAAGGAGTTGTTTTGAGTTTGGTTTTTTTTTTTTTTTTCCCCTTGCCCCAAACAAAACGTGGGTCCATCTGCTGTATTAAAAATAGGAGATAAAATGACTAATTATTATTATTATTATATTATAATTTCATTGTTGTCACACAGCCAGGGCCACTGCTTTTGCTTTGTCACTTTATTCTGAGGTCTCTCCCTGTGCATCCAGCGCTCAGCAGGGCTTGGCCATCCCCTTCTCCAAGGGAAAGGTGACAGCCAGAGTGACACGGTGGCCCTTGCAATGCCACCAGTCTTCCACTGGTCCTCAGCCCCAAACCTATGGAGGAGGAGGGTGGAGAAGGCTCCTTCTGCCCAAGGAGCACAGGGGGAGCACCCCAGAACCCCCCAGGGCATTCCTGCTGGGAATCCCGGGGGTCAGGAATGCTTTGCTCCCATCCCTTCCTGCCCATATCAATCCTGGAGGTCAGGGAGCCTTGGGGCAGCACCTCCTCCTGCCTCTGGTGCTTCTGGAAAACGCTGGGAGTTCTGGAGGCAAGGAGATGTGTCTGGGAATCTCGGTGCTCCAGGAACTGCAGCCGGGAATTCTGGCCTGGAGCGGAGCCACAGGGATCTGGGAGGGGATGAGGAGGACCTGGAACATCCCAAATCCTCAGCCCCGCTCTGGGGATTTGGGAGGGGATGAGGAGGACCTGGAACATCCCAAATCCTCAGCCCTGCTCTGGGGATTTGGGAGGGGATGAGGAGGACCTGGAACATCCCAAATCCTCAGCCCTGCTCTGGGGATTTGGGAGGGGATGAGGAGGACCTGGCCTGTCCCAAATCCTCAGCCCTGCTCTGGGGATTTGGGAGGGAATGAGGAGGACCTGGAACATCCCAAATCCTCAGCCCCACTCTGGATCCAGGAGGGGATGAGGAGGACCTGGCATGTCCCAAATCCTCAGCCTCACTCTGGAGATTTGGGAGGGGATGAGGAGGACCTGGCACATCCCAAATCCTCAGGCCCACTCGGGATTTGGGAGGGGATGAGGAGGTCCAGGCACATCCCAAATCCTCAGCCCTGCTCTGGGGATTTGGGAGGGGATGAGGAGGACCTAGCATGTCCCAAATCCTCAGCCCCACTCTGGGGATTTGGGAGGGGATGAGGAGGACCTAGCATGTCCCAAATCCTGAGCCCCACTCAGGATCCAGGAGGGGATGAGGGGGATGTGGAACTTCCCAAATCCTCAGCCCTGCTCTGGGATTGTCACTGCACAGCCCAGCACCGCCAGCCCTGCCCAAGGCTGGGATTTTGGGGTGGAAAATCTGAATTTCCCCAGTGCTTGGTGGGGGCTTCGTTGCGACTGCGGAGGAGGCGGAACTCGGGATGGCAGAAGAGGCAGCAGCTCCAAAGCCAGGATGAGTAAATTCTTCCATGGAAACACTTCTCCTGATCCTTAATATTTTGAAAGGAGGGGGTTTTTTTGTTGTTGCTTGGGGAGGGGGGGGATAGAGATGGATCTCAATCTTTATACATCTGCTATAAGATATTTTTGCAAACAGAGTTGTATACAAAGATGTATTGTGTACATTTACATGTATATTCTGGAACTTCTAAAAAATTTGAATATAAAAAAAAACCCTGAAAATATTTAATTAATTATCCAAACTGTGAGACCCAATTAGCATCCACCAACTTCCTGCTTCACTTTTCTTTTGGACTGTGTTAAAGAATTGTAGTCGAATCTGCCTTTTTTTTTTTTCTTTTTTTTTTTTTTTTTTTCTTTTTAGAGACGAAGCTTAGGCAAAATTTTGTGCTTTTTGGGTTAATAGAAACCAGTTCTAGGTGATTTAAGTATGATCTTAACTTATTGATACTGTGTTTTACTTTGTAATATTGTACTGTGGATAAAAACTATATTGAGCCATGGAGTTGGAGTTTACAAAAGAGCTTTTCACTTTGCCAAAATGTTACAATTTCAAGGCAGCATAGTCTTCAGCTTTCCTAATCTTTTTTCTTAAGAGCTAGTGTCCTTTTTTTGTACACTAAAAAAGCTGAATGCTGATTTTGCAACATATAATAAATTCACTGTATTGGAAAACAAGCAGACAATAAGGTTGTGGATTTCTTTTCAGTGCTTCTCCCTGCAAGGAGACTCAAAAGGGAAAGGTGATAAATGGCTGGCGTGGAGCTTGGAAGCAGGAAACGGGAAGGAACCGGGTCACTTGAGCGAGCTCAAGTGTCAGAGCAGGGACTAGGTAAGAAAGAGGAGAGGGAAGAGGTGCCTGGAGCGGGCCAGCTCCTTGGAACGCTGCGCTGGGATCGGCCTCCAGCCCTGGCACCAGCTGGGGGCTTCCCACTGCAGCAGCCTGGGGGATTCTGGAGGAAAAGCCGCTCTGGAGGAGGCGCTGGATGCTCAGGGCTCAGCCCGGAGGGGCCGTGGCCCCGGGGCAGCAGGAGGCTCAGGGATGCTCGGGATGCACCGAGGGGCTGCTGCAGGACTGAGGCTGAGCCTGGGGGTGCTGCTGGAGCAGGAGGTGGGGAAGAGCCTGGCACAGACCCTGCTGGAGCTCTCGCCTCCTCCCACCTGGCTGAATCATCCCCAAAAAGCTCGGGATGCAAACGGCGCCTGGGCTGTGTCAGGAGTGTCCCTTGCCTTGCTGTCACCGTGGATTGCTCTGGGCCTGCCTTCAGCAGCATCCCTGGGGCTGGATGGAGCAGGCAGAATAAAACCAAGGATAAAACTACTCAGGAGTGCAATGGCTTTGGAATTTTGCTGTGTTCGTGCTGCCTCCCTCCTGGAGCAGAGGCTGAGCAGCAACCCAGGGCTGGAGGCCGCAGGTGCTGGCCCTGCATTCCCTGTGCCCATAACGTGTTCCTTTGGGTTAAGTGCTGCATTCGGGATTGTCCCTCCAAAACAGCACGCTCTGGAGAAGGTGACAATCATCCAGGGGTCAAATAACCTTTTACAACGTTTTGGTTTATTTTTTAAAAGGTGTCCTTGCAGCTGACATGGCACGAGGAGACACCGGAGGGACTCAGCCACGGAGCAAGAGCTGAGCCCGGGCTCTTGCAAAACCCCAAATCCTCCAGTTTTAGCTTCAGATGTGGCTTCTGAGCCAAGCTCTGCACCCCAGGCCCCCTTTACCCTCCGTGAGCTTCCCCCGGGGCGCTGAGCGGCTCCAGGGCCGGCTCCTGCCCCGCGGGGACGCTCGCACAGGAAGGGTCCCCATCCCCTCCCAGCTTTCCTGGGGAATTCCTCCCAACCGCTGGCAGCTCCGGCGCTGCCCGGGGTCACGCATTGAGCTCATTAACTCGGAGCTGCCCCAGTGGAAATTTACTGGCTGCGTTTGCTGTGCCAGAGCCAGCCGGGCTCCTGCCGCCGCCGCCTCCTTATCGGCACCGCCGGGAGCCGGGAGCGCCGCACCGGGAGCATCCCCGTGTCCGCCCGGGTGGCAAAACCCGGCCGGCTGCAGGCTCGGGAGGAGCCCTGAGCTCTGATAATTCACTGATAACTCAGGTCACGCTTGGGAAAAGTCACTTTGCATCGCATCTTGCACAAACTGCCCCTAATCTGGGGTCACGCAGGCGTGGGAAGGCCCTGGCCAGGTTTTAGGGATGCTGGAAACCGATGACAGCACTGTGGGTTTTTTCCCCCCGTGGTTTTTTTTTTTTTTTTTTTCCCCATGGGTTTTTTCCCCTGTGGATTTTTCCCCCGTGGGTTTTTTCCCTGGGCACCTCTCAGTGCTCGTGGCTCGTTTACAGGAGGAAGCTCATTAGAATAATTTGTCCTCGCCACGGTCCGATGGCGCTGGTCCCTCTCCCAGAGCAGCTGCTGCACCTCCAGCGCCGGGCACGACCCCCAAAACCACCCCCTGCCCCCTCCCTTGCAGGCGTGGGTCCGACCTTGGGCACGCAGCGCCGCGAGGGCGATGGCACAGGGAGAGGGAGGAGGATGAGGAGCTGCCAGCAGGGATATAATGAAGGGCCAGGGCTTGGGATTGTGTTACAGAGGGGAAAAAACCCAACTGTGGAGGAAGGAAAACGTGGCAAGGGAACGCTGAGGCTGCTGCGAGGCACAAATCCGCGCTTGGCGGGGTCGGCCCCGACCTGTTGTGGGGAGGGGGACAGAGGCAGGACCCCCCAGCCGAGCCCGTCCCTGCGCTCAGCATCTCCGGCTGCCGCAGGAGCAGCCCCTGAACCTGCTTAGAATGAAGCCCGGGGGGGCTGCGTGGCCTGGATCCCCATCCCGGGGCTGGAGCGGGGGGTCTGCCGGGAGCGGGGGGTGGGCACCATTGCTGGGGGAGCGGGGCCGGTCGCTATGGCTCCGCTGTGGCTCCGCTGGCCCCCGGCCAGCCCCCGGCAGCTGGGGAGCGAAGGCGCTGGGCGGCCGGCCCGGGCTCCCGGCCCATGGACGCGTTGGGCGAGCGGGAACAAGGGAGCCCCGCTCATGCGGTGCCGAGCGTGGGAGGAGTGGGAAGGGAGTGGGGGAAGGAACAATGGTGGGAGTTATGGGAGGGGGGCGAAAAAAAAAAAAAAAAAAAAAGGAAAAAAAAAAAAAAAGGAAAGCAGTGGAAAAATACCAGTTCTGGGCCCCTGGCAGCGCTGCCCGGACCCTCCCCGCCCCAGGATTATTGTACAAAGAAATGTTATTTTTGTTTCAATAATTTGCTGAGGCACTGGCATTCCAGCGCGGGGCTCGTTTTGTCCTCCAGCCCGGCACCAAGGGATCATTGTTCCTCCATGGCCAAGGGGCCGGACGCGGCCCCCCGGCACCGCCGTGCCCTCCACCGCCGCCTCTCCCCGCGGCCGCCCGGCCGCAGGTGCCCTCGGGGCTCGGTCCCGGTGGGTCCCGTCCCGCTGCGTGCCGGAGGGTGGGTGGCGATGGCAGCGAGCCCCGAGGAGCGGGGTGGGTGGCGGAGGAGGGCAGAGCTGTCCTCGCCGTGTCTGCGGGGAGCGAGGGTGGGGAGGGGGCCGGGGCGTTGCTGCGGCTCCGGGGGCCCCTTTGAAGCGGGGCGGGCCATTGAAAGGCAGCGGGACCCCGGGGGCCGCCAGCGGGGGGGCGGCCACGACCCCTTTCTCTGCGCCGGCCCCGGGCACTCCCCGCGCTCCCCGGGCCCACACGGGGGGTGCGGCCGCACACAGGGGTCGGTGCCCCCCGGCAGCGCCCGCGGGGAGCCGGGGAGGGCGCTGGGGGCGGAGGGGGCACCGTGGCCACTCCGCCCTGCGGGCTCCGGGGTGCCAGGGCTGCCGGGGGCCGCGCCGGGGGCTCCAGGGAGCCGTGACTTTTTGGGGTGCCCACGCCGGGGGCTCTGGGGTGTCCGTGCTGGGGGCCCTGGGGTGCCATGACCTTCGGGGTGACCACGCCGGGGGCTCCAGGGTGCTGTGGTTTTTGGGGTGCCCATGGCGGGGTAATAGGGGCTGCGGGGTGCCGGGGTGCCCCTGCCGGGGGCGGCGCGGTGCCGGTGCCGGTGCCGGGCGGGCAGCCCCGTGGGAGCGGCGCCGTGGGAAGGCGCCCGCGGGTCCCGGGCGCAGGAAGCCGCCGGTCCGGGGCTGTCAATGGCCGGAAGGCGGCGGCGGGACCCCCGGTCCCGGCCCGGGACCGGCCCCGGCGACACTTCCCCTTCCCGGGTCAGCGGCCGCTTCCCCCTCCCGCCCGTCACCTCCCGCCGCCCCCCCGGTACGAGCGGCCGGCGCGGGCCGGGGAGCCCCGCACGTGCCCCGGGACCGGGGCTCGGGGGTTCCGGGGGGTCCGGGGCTGCCGGTGCCGGTGGGCACGTGCGGAGGGG